CATGTGTGTTTATGCGTGCACGGCTATGTGTGTCTGTGTTTGTGTGTGTGTTTATTGTGTAAGCAGAAAGATACGAAGAATTATTGAAATATCATGTCGCTCCCTTAAGATTTAAAGCGTCTAAAACAATGCCATTTGACCCAAGCTCGATATGTACAAGAGTGTACAAGTGCCAAAGATCGCCATCAGTTTCTTATCATTGTAATTTGAATTCTTTTTCTGAAACTAATTCTATATATTGGTAATAACCTGTCTATAATACACGATAGTCAAGCTGGAATTCTCCATTTAGAAGCTGAACTGAAGACTATTATTATATCTATATGTCGCCTGGGAAATTTGTTCCTATTGGAATTTAAGTATTTGAGTATATGGTCTATTTATGGATTTGCGGATATTATGGTAAAAAACTAATGGCTTCACTTAATAACATGCAGAGCTTGTTAGTATACTGGGCTGTACAGTATGTATGAAGTGTTCCTTATTATAGTAATGCACATTATAAGGTATATTATAATAATAATTCATTGAATAACCGATAAACCAGGGAATCAAGTTGATCGAAGATAGAAATTATAAGAGTACTATGTACCTGCCTGTTTTAATAAACTGTTTCTGATAATTAAGAAATATATATATTATGTAAATATATTCCCAGCGTTATATCTGTATAGAGATCATTCGTGACTACAACACCTAAACATAGTTTTACCTGTCCTTAAAAATAAACTAAATTATCCTTTATTTTATAATAAATTGTTACTGTCTGTGCGCCTGATGTATACGAATTTTGAAAATGGGTTTTGTGATCTCGATCGCCTTGATCGAGATGTGTGGCGCTTGCTTGTTGATGTAGTCATCTTTCTTGCGATCTTGATGCAGGATTCAATTCATTAGCTAATACCGAACTATCTTTTTAGAATTAAGAAAACGCGAATCTGACAATGAGCGCAAGAAGTTGGAATGGGAAATGCGCGAGAAGCAGGCCGAGGAGATGCGTAAACGTGAGGAGGAAACCATGCGTCGCCATCAGACTGAAATGCAGAGTCGAATGGTGCGCCAGGAGGAGGATATGAGACGTCGCCAGCAGGAGAACACGTTGTTTATGCAGGCCCAACAACTAAATTCGTTGCTTGATCAGCAGGAAGGTTTCGGTGGCAATAACGGCGGTGGCGGTGGTGTCAATGCAAATTTCGATAATTTCGGAGGCAACAGTAATTCGCCTTTTGAAGTATTCCGAGGTGAGTTTCTGACTTGCCAGCAGTCATTAAAAACAATTTTTAAATTATTGCATTGCATTTGAATTTAGGTAATAACAACTCGTCCATGGCAGGCAATAATGGGCCAGGTGGAAACAATCAACAGCAGGTATGATCATATCATTGCGTCGACCGTATACTACTATACTATATAGTTGTTGCAATATGAGTGCACATATATGTATATGCCAGTAGGCATTACAATGGGTCGTCTCAGACATGGGGCTTTAATTGATTTTCATAACTAATTCGACTTAAATTAAATAGAAAATTGAAGACGCCTACCGCATAGGACTAGAGTTTTACATGCTCACTTTTTTTTATTTTATCAGTGTTTTCTTTTTTAATCTTGTATCAGGTTCTATGATAGACTTAAAAAGTCTTTATCGATATATATTTTCATGTGTTTTATTGTATACAGAGATTACTGCAGAACATAGTCTTCGTCATTCGATTCAGCCAGCATCGCGATCTGCGATTTTATATAGACCTCTTTGTTTTGTTGGTACGAAGCGATTGTCGTTGATAATGGCTTCCAGGTTGAAGTGCTGGAAAATCTGTTTAATATTGGGATTTGATTATTTTTGATATTTCTGATATAGCACATGAAATACATACATTACATTCCTCCAGGAGTCCAATATGCCGTTATTCTGTTTTCACAATGTTTGCGTAAGTCTCTGATAATGAGGGGAACTGTATTTTGTAATTTTGGTTATTTATTTGGTTCCTTGTACATGGAAAAACAGTAACAAATCAATTGAACAATTGTACTTTTCTTGCTCTAATAGGACTCCTTCACTCCTTTTGAATTTGGGGTTAACAATATGAACCAAGGCGGCAATCAACGTGGAAATAATGGCGGAAACAATGTTCCATGGGGACGTCGTCGTTTTTAGACAGCCCTCGAGATGTTTTACATGGACCACTATGGATATAGAATAAATAAATTGATCCATATATTGATGCATTGATTTAAGTCTTACAGACTGGACACTTCACACATAGATTAGTGTGAGAATTCATTTAACAGAAAACTTACGGAACATAATATATATTATACCATTTATTATAAACCTAAGCTGCAAAAAAAACTTGTATGGTTTTATGATTTTATTCTTTCATCCTAAAGACCCTTAATAAAGAATCGTATCAAAAACGTCAAGTGAAAAAACATCCTGGCTACTACATACCGTACAATCTATGTAGTCATAAT